AGTCCTGCCTTTCAGTTCTGGCTAGACCAGAGCATGTACACTGGTACAGATAAGAGCTCAGGACACATGGAATCCAGGTCAGATAAGCCCCTCAGGAAAAGAAATGGGAGTAGCGATACCAGGAGGGTTGGGGGAAGAGGGGAGGAAGGGGGAACCGATCACAATGATCGCCACATAATTCCCTCCCCTCTCCAGGGGGACAAACAACAGAAACATGGGTAAAGGGAGACAATGGTCAGTGAAGATATGAAAACAGTAATGTATAATTTATCAGCGGTCACGAGGATGGGAGAATGGGGCAGGGAGGTAAAAAAGAGGAGCTGATACCAAGGACTCAAATAGAAAGTAAATGTTTAGAAAATGATGATAGCAACATATGTACAAATATGCTTGATACAGTTGATGCATGGAATGTTTTAAGAGCTGTAAGAGCCCCCGAGAAGGTGATTTAAAAAAAAAAATAAGTAAAAGTAAACTCAAGACTCGGAACGGTGACAGGATGGCAGGTAGGCGGTGGCAGCTCAAAGGGCCTCCCTGTCGCCGGTGAGTCTTGTCTTCTGGCCCTGAGGCCTTAAGCTGCTCTTCCCTCTTCGCATACTAACCCAGGCCTCCTCCCTTCACCTGATAGGCTTTTGGGTTCATGACCAGGGTGGCCCTGCAGGCGGAGAAACTGGACCACCATCCTGAATGGTTTAACGTGTACAACAAGGTGAGTGAGGTCGGGGTTGTGAGAAGCCCCGCTCTTCATACCAAGGTTAGCTCTCTACTCAGTCTGCCTCGCCCATCACTTCCTGACTCAAGACTCCAGCACAGGCACCCCTGGGAAATGCCCAGTTGCACTGCCAGTGAAAGAAATGCAGATTCTAATACTGGAAAAGTAGACATTAAAGTAGACATTACAAAGTGTTAAAGTAGACATTACAAAGGCACAACCCAAGGAAGATAAGGCTGTGGGATGCAGGTACACGAAACTACTCACTGTTAGTCCTCTAAGTAGCTTCTGTCTCTCTGGAGGATGAAAGGATGGAAAAGAAACGAATGAAGAATACAGTACCCAGGCCCAGCAAACAACTCAGACTGTCAGTAAAACCCGTTAAAGTGCCTCCCATTTGCCAAGAGCTAGGCTGAGCTATTTGTACAAACAGTAAGGCTTGGAAGAGACTCTGTAAATGGATAGAGTTGACACTGGAGTTGGCCTTTGGGCTGATTTGAGCTTTTAGGTTGTTCTTGAAAACCAGCTTTGCACCATTGTGACAGACCTGTCACAGCCCCCTAACAAGAAGGCAACCCACGGGGCACAGTGAGCTCCTCCTCGGGAGCCCATGGACAGCCGGTGATGCTCTCCTGCTCGTGAGTGACATCGGTAGTCAGTTGGGCCTGCATGTCTGGTTTTGTTTCAGGTCCACATCACGCTGAGCACCCATGAGTGTGCAGGTCTCTCGGAGCGGGACATAAACCTGGCCAGCTTCATTGAACAAGTGGCAGTGACCATGACATAGGGCCTGCCCCTCCTTTTCATTCCTCAGGGGAAGAGGGGGGAGCTGGGGCGTCCTGGGTCCTGCTCAGTCACCTCACCCAGGCCATGTTGCTGTGCTGCCCACTGCGGGTGGGTCCTTGCTGTGCAAAGAAGACCGACTTCACTGCCGTCCCCCTCCGCCGTCCCTAGTTTCCTCCCCGAGGCCTGTTAGTACCGGTTTGAAAAAGTTCCTCCTTTCTTTGCAACTGCAGCGAGCTCTGCTTGTCTTGCTCAACTCTGCCGGTCTGAATCATTTCCCAAGAAGCTGTGATGGGCTGGGGGTCGGGGCAGGGTCTTAGCTAGGAACTAGGGCCCAGGCCAAGCGACAAACCCGATGCTTTCCTGCCCCTAATAAAGTCCCTGTGTCACTCACTTGGTCTCAGGCTGTAGATTCTTCTATCCTCCAGGGCAATCTGTTTGGGGTCAGCGAAACAGACATTTAAAGCACTGACTCCATGCAAGGTACTGGGGGGAAAAGCATGGACCAGCCTTTCTTTTTTAACCCTCTTCAGTATTTTTTTAATAAAATTTTTTAAAAAATCGTTTTATTGGGCACTCATGCAGCGCTTATCAAAATTCATCCATCCATCGTGTCAAGCACATTTGTACCTAAGTTGCCATCATCATTTAAAAAACATTTTCTACTTGAGCTCTTGGTATCAGCTCATTTTCCCTCCTACTCAACCCTTCCTCCCCAGTGAACCCTTGATAATTTATACACCCCCACCCCCCATGTCTTACACTGACCCATGTCTCCATTTACCCACTTTTCTGTTGTCCATCCCCCTGGGAGGGAGTTATTTGTAGGTCATTGTAATCAGTTCCCTTCTTTCTCCCCCCACCTTTCCCTTACCCTCCTGGTATCACTACTCTCAATATTGGTCCTGTGGGGTTTATCTGTCCTGGATTCCGTGTTTCCAGCTCTTATCTGTGCCAGTGCACATGCGCTGGCCTACCAGGATTTGTAAGGTAGGATTGGGGTCAATGATAGTGGGCCGGAGGGGGGAAGAGGACAAATTAAAGAACTAGAGCAGCGGTTCTCAACCCGTGGGTCATGACCCCTTTGGGGGTCGAACGACTGCTTCAAAGGGATCACCCAAGGTCATCAGAAAACACATATTTCCGATGGTGTTAGGAATGGAGACACCGCCCCCCTATCCATCTCCAGGCAGGTCCGCCCACATGTAGATATGCCCACATACGAGTACCTGGCGTGAAGACGGTTACCCACGCTACACCATGCTCCAAGAAAATTTCATTTATTTGTAATTAGAAATAAATATTTCACAATATATAATTACATATTGTTTTATTGACTAATCACTATGCTTTAATTACATTTAACTTGTAACAACGAAAATATATCCTGCATATCAGATATTTACAATTCATACCAGTAGCAAAATTAGAGTTCTGAAGTAGCAACGAAAATAATTTTATGGTTGGGGTCACCACAACATGAGGAACTATTAACAGGTTGCGGCATTACGAAGATTGAGAACCACTGAACTAGAGGAAAGTTGTGTGTTTCATCAGTGCTATACTGCACCCTGACCTGGCTCGTCTCTTCCTTGTGACCCTTCTGTGAGGGGACGTCCAATTGTCTACAGATGGGCTTTGGGTCTCCACTCCACACTCCCCCTCATTCACATCGATAGGATTTTTTGTTCTGGATCTTTGATGCCTGATACCTGATCTCATTGACACCTCATGATCCCATAAGCTGGTGTGCTTCTTCCAAGTGGGCTTTGTTGTTTCTCAGCTGGATGGCTGCTTGTTTATCGACCCCAGATGCTATATCTTTTGATAGCCGGGCACCATCAGCTAGCTTTTCTTCACTGCATTTGCTTATGCACCCATTTTGTCTTCAGCGATTCTGTCAGGGAAGGTATCACAGAATGCCAGGTTATTAGAATAAAGTGTTCTTGCACTGAGGGAATACTTGAATAGAGGCCCAATGTCCATCTGCTACCTTAATACTTAACATATAAATATACATACCTAGATCTATTTCCCTATAGTTACATATAAATATCTTTACGTATGTACATGCCTGTATTTAGACCTCTATAAATGTCCTTTGCCGACTAGTTCTTTCCTCTATTTCCTTTTACTTTCCTCCTGTCCCACTCTCATGTTTGGCCTTCACTCAGCTTTCAATAATTCCTCTTGGCTACATTGTACTTGTTCAAGCTCCGCTAGGCATTCTACGCCGTCCTCACCATCGATTTTAGACCACCAGCCTTTCAATGCATATCTCATCACCTGGAGGAAATCAGGCAGGCATAGGGTTACCTGGCAAGGTGGGTGAATTAAGTCAATGCTAGATGCCAGGCTAAGGAGTGCACTGTGGAAACACAGTATTCACGCATGCTGACAAGATGGATTGGGCTCTGTTGAGTTATGCCTTGAAGACTTGAGAAAAATGATTGGGGAGCATTGTAAACAGGAACCTCCACTATGGGAGGTACCTAAACCCGATGGTGTGTAGTTGCCACTAAAAGAAGTGTCCACACGCAAAGGGTGAAGGCACAGGCTTGGCTTAGGCTTACAGGGGAGGTTGGAATACTCCTGGCCGTCTCCCTCACCCACATTTGGCTCAGTTGTTGCCCCTTTTCAGTTTGCTAAGACTTCTTGGATCACAGGGGTATCATGGTGGGGGAGGGAATGCCTAGCTCCGGAGCAGAGGTGGGGGCAGGGCTTAAGCTCAACGCCTCTCTCAGGGAGCTTCCAAGTGGGTTTGAACTGCCACCCTTCAGTCAGCAGCTGAGTGCTTGCCCGTTGGCACCACCAAGGCTCCTGGGTCACGCTCTAGGACAGTTTCCCAAACAATGGGCACCGTGTCAGCAGGAGCACTTCGGCTGGACTGCCTTCCTCCAGGGCCCTCGCATGAAGTGCTGCCTGGCTATTAAACGGGCTCGCACATGCCAGTGTCTTTGAATAATGTCACAACTCCCTCACCCAACAAGGGCCCCCCAGAAAGGCAGAGGCTGGCCCATGGGTAGTGAGCATGCTGACAGCAGTTCTGGCCTGCAGGCTATTCGTACAGAAACACAAGCCAACACTCTTTAAAAAAAAAATACATTTATTCTAAAATTAACCCACATAACTGAAGTTACAGGGAGGATGTTGAGGAGAGATTACGGTAAGAATGCATAAAAGAAAGTAAGGCAATTAATTAAAGGCTCCAAGTCAAGAATAGGCTCTCAAAAACGCAACTCTTGATCACTCAGACTATGTAGTGGGTAGCTATCAAATTAGGTCCCACAGGTTACTTGTCATGCTGGGTCTGGGGAAAAGTTGCCCAGGCCACCAAGAGGCCCCAGGGAAGGCACAGGGACTCACGGGTATCAGGAGTAGCTGGCAGCGTCTAGACCCACCTCGGAGATGAGCCAAGCCTCCATAGCCACGCGCAGCCTGGCCCCACTTTCTCTGGGTTTTACCACATAAGCTAGGAGGTGCTCTGGAAGCCAAGCCACCTGGCAGAAGATCAGAGCAAGAGCAGCACTGTGAGGCTGGGCCAAGCTCTCTGTCAGTAGGCCACTCTCGGGTAGCTGGGCAGCGCCACCTGGCCCAGCTGGCTGGTGCCCATTCAGGAGGCTTGATCCACCAAGGTGAAGCTGAAGTGGACAGTGGCGGTGACAGTAAACAGACAGCAGGGTCCTGGACCTGGGTTCCACACAGGTATGAGACAGGTGTAACCACCACTCCCAGCACGGAGACCCATTAAAGTGCTGGAATGTAGTCCAGCTGTGTGGGCCTCACCAACCTCACACCCTGCGTCAGGGGCGGTCTCTCACCAGCAGCCAGTTGGAGTCCTGCCACCGCCCCACTGGTGACCTTCCAAATGTTCCCACATAAAAAAGCGCAGCATCGACAAAGAGATCCGGGACATTTAATTCTTTAGTAGCGGTTAAGACATTATTTCTGCACCTGGGAAGGAGGCATCGCGATTGGCAGGGGCAGTTAGAGAAAACCAGCCAACAGAAAGAGAGGCAAGTACCATTTTCCTAGTATAAAACTAACATTGGAAGTGGCCTGGCAGCCAAGTCACATGACTACTTCTAATGCAGAGACAGGACTACAGGTTTGCAGAGGCCCGTGTTGTGACATGTGACAGAACAATCCTTAGACACTCCCCTTGGCCACAGACCAGGGGTAACTATGCACATACACACACAAAGGAAAACCAAAGAAAAAGGGAAATCAACCCTGGATCACACACTAAAATGGCTGCAGGAGGTCCCTTCAAAAGCTGCACCCATCGCCCCAGGACCCATGCTCCCACCCAGAGGCAGAGTGGCTCAGGGTCAGGTCCTGAGGGGAGAAGACACCAGAAGTGTTAGCACACTCATGGGGGCTCTTGTTTCTCCATTTCAGCAGCTGGCCAAGGTCAGTGTTGCCGACTGGGGGTGCCTGGGTGCCTGGAGCCCCAGTAATGCAGCCCTGGAGACCAAGGGGCAGGTCCTGCACTGTGTTGACTGGGACTCTCCATTTCAGCAGCTGTGGAGAAGCGTGTCATCGCCACGTGCACGTGCCCAGCCCTTCCTCGGACACACACAGGCACCACCACTCTTGGCACCCTCAGTGCACTGCAGAGCAAACAGGAGAAACACACACACACACACACACACACAAAAGCTGCGGGCAGGAGGCCAGCTAGACTCGACTACAGTGTAGGAAGAACGCTTCAGACACACGGGCTGTGAGCTGCAGTCCACGTTGTCTGGTAGCCTGGCTCTCCTGGCCAGCAGCCCCGTGGACCGCTAAGGGAGACCTTCTAGATAGAGCTGACTATCCGGGAGTCCCTGAGAAGGGGATGGAGCAGAGGTACATTTGCCTGACTTGTCCTAAGAACGCCCGGACACAAACAAACCCCCCAGGCAGACTCATTTCCCCTGGGGCCAGGGGCAAGAGCAGCTTACTGCTCACCAAGGAGAAAGGCACACTATATGACATTATCAGAGGAGAAC